CGTCATGGATTCGCCATAAGCTAAGGGGCTCGAAACAACGAAAATCCCCAGCTTCCGTCCACGACCTGCGTGGGCAATGGGGAGAAGATCTTTCGTCGCGAATCGATCAGCTGGAGAGGAGTCACCACCACCCAGGCGACCCTCTAGGGGGGACGGGCGGGTGAGAAACATCTCCCAGGCACCGAGCACCCCCCCCAGGCGGACACCCACCTTTGCGCTGAATACGACGGGTACGTGGCTTGCCCGGCAAACACACACATAGTTATTTCACGCAGCGAACTACCTTGGCTTTCCCCTCTACGCGATAAGTGTGACGCTTAACAATTGTGAACCCGACGAGGTCGACATTACGAAGTCGTTGATATTTTGGAGGTTGAGTTACTGCTGTACTTCTGAATTGGTAATTACTATTTGTATGAATACGCAGTACTGTACTATTCATTGATGGCTCATCGATGATTGATGTTGCCTGTTGTGTTACTCGTCTCGAGTACGATGTCTATCTAGTGATAGTATCCGTTTGACAGTCCATGAATTTCAACGCCTCAATGCGCATTCTCGTCGGTCTCATCATCGCTATCGCTGTTAACGCCATCCTCAACTCTAAACCGTCTGGCAACTATTGCGGTTATCCTGTTATCACCCCAAGGGGTAAAGGGTTCATCACGATCAACATAGCAGACAGTCACGAATTCAACATTTATGCCGAGTGGACTCCCTTTTTTGGTTGTGAGAGGGCTGGCATCGAGTATTACGTGCCCTATTCGTACGATGACTCGACACAGGATGTGACCGTCACGGATACGAGCAAGCTGCAGGATCTGATCACCAAAATAGATGCTCCCATGAGACCCTCTGATCTCGCTCATCTACATTATGATGGCAATGCTCTGCACGTCGTGGCTTTCAAATACCTCTATTTGAAACCATGCTAGTCCAGGCCAGTGACTCAGCTCTCGCTGAGATCTGTGAGAGTTACATAATGAGACTCAGGCAGGCGACAGTGCAATAGCTGTCTTCCGAGCACTGCTCCTTGTCGAAGTCTGGTTGTTGTCACTAACTTAACGTCTACTAATCTCAGTGAACTTTCCCTTTCCTACGATTTTTCTCCGATGAGTTCAGGATAGGCTATTGATGATATCACATTACCTGATTTAGTATAGCACGGGAATCCCGTGCTATACTAAATTCCGTGCCGGGATTGAGTATGGTAATGAATTCCCAAACTCATCCCATAATGGGAAATGTTGTTGTGAATCTCCATGTGGGTGTGGAGATAAGGTACGTGCCCGCTTCGCCCGAGTCCGACTGGCAACACTAGACATAGAGGAAAGATGGAAGTACGTACTGACGATACGAAGCAATAAGAGAGCTCAAGTAGATCGAGCATAGACCAGAAATAACGAGATTAGTTAATAGTGCACGTACATCATCAGAAGGTCAAGAATATGCGCATGCGTTCTACCGGCAATATTCACGCTGATGCGCATGCGTGCATCATAGAAATAAGAGACAGCGCGATAGCATCAGCATTCTCCGCCCCTGTAGAATTGCGTAGAGCATCCCTCCGAGCAACCCTAGCCGCACGATCGGCTGACTGTTGAGGATCTTTTGGAGCAGGCACCGGAGGAACAGCCGGTGTCCAAACGCGACTTCTCGGCAGGAGAGGGGCTTCAGCGAACTTGTCGGCTACCTCCTCCGGATCCACATCGGTAGCACGAGTGAGATTGAAGACATACTGGACCTCATCTGCCTGGCCAGCCTTGGCACACTCAGGCCTCAGCC